CCATTAGCTACACCACTTGAGAGTTGCTGGTACCAAGCTAGACCAATGGGTCACAATGCCTTAGCTATGACTGTGAAAACACTCTGTCAAAGTACAGGAGCTAGTGGATATTACACAAATCACTCTCTTCATCGAACATGTGCTTCTAGGCTGTACAATAAAGGAGCTGATGAGCAGGAAATTATGTCCATCACTGGTCATCGCAGCAACAATGCTGTTCGTCTCTATAAGAAAGCTTCTTTGGAACAAGAAGAGAAGTTAAGCAACATGCTGAAGAGTGGTGGTGCTGCAACTAGTGATAATAAGGTGAAAGATGATGCAATAGTTGATAAGATTGAATTAGACACCAAGCAACCGCAACCTGGCTTACCAGTATCATTACCTCAACTACCAGGTTTCACAGGACTCAGTCAGTGTACAATTAACTTTAGCTTTAATAATTACTCTAACAAGTAACATTTACTGTGTTTCAGTTGGTCATTATCATTTTGTCCTTTTGTTTATGACAAGCTCTAAAAATCATTTTTACTGTCAAAATCAATTCTTAATTAAATTTTTGGGGTTGCCATAAACATGCTGTTATCATAGGTATGGCTTCCCAGGTCTCCACAGAATTTGGAAACCTCATTAACACTCTCAACATCAAAGTGAATTATTCATAGTATAGTTTAATGTTAATTTAACTGATTTTGGTTATTATTACTATTATAAATTTATAATCAATTAATCATTAATAAGTATTAGCAGCAACTGTGCAAGAATTCAGTACTGTGATCTTTCAGGGAATCTTCTTATAATAGTCAAGTCCTTGCAACATTAACTGTCTTTGGAGTAACCTCTCAATTGCTAGTGCAACTTGTGCCTGCAAGGTAGTGAAGCCAAGAGTGAAGCTGATCATCAGGCTGTGTTAGATACGGACCACTTTGACGGAAAGTATCCCTCTGTAAGTTATAATAAAAGGGTTATTTGATTATATGGTTGCTTGACTGTGTGTTGAGGCGTGTGTAACAAAGTGTGTTTGAAGAAGATTATCAAAAGCAGCTGCAATGATACTACTGACAGCAGCCGTATGTTGATGCTATGTACTGACTACCATAGGTAATATCTAAACAGCTGCTTTGTTCAAGGCTTTGTTAAATAGCTTTTACTGTATAGGGGGTATATTTCACAAGGATTTAATTTCACTAATTTCACGGTTTTAAAAAATTTGCGAAAATTTTTATCTGTGAAAATTATTTTTTACTATACTAATAATGGTCAGTAGAAGAAAAACGCAAAATTTTTTTCTTGTGAATAGGTTTAAAGGTGATTTTCGTGAAATATTTTCCCCGGGAAATATACCCCCATACAGTATTCTAAATCTTATGCTTCATGCAATGCACCAATATGTACATGTAGATATGATAATTTTCGATACAACATAACTTGTCAGTGATATGGACAACATTAATTCATAGGCATAGATAACAGTCGATTTCTTAATAACAATATTACGTAATAGGTGATTCATTCTCTAACTCACCACCCATTTTGTTTGCTTTAGTCATACATGTACATGTACATCAAGGTCTACTTGCCAGTGTGTCACCCCCTATTATGCAACTCACACTTTGTCACCCTCTTTTTGTAATCTTGGTATTTTAAATTTAGCATCAAATATAGGCTATTACCGGGCCATCTTCTCATTAACTTTCATTGACTGGTACCTTCTCTTCTCCTTTTCCCTTCACTCATCTTGTGTAGCCACGCCCATATTTTCTAATTATACTTCTTTAATTAGTCTTTATTGCCTGACGTCACTCACACTGACCAAGCCGATGGTCGCCCTTTGAACAAGTTGATGTAGGGTAGTCTACCAGACTCTCTCCCCGCCACCCCCATGTCAAAAAGGGGAGGAGTCTGGCAACGCGAGACTATAGCTTAATTGGGAGCCCTATAACCACTCCTTTAGGGTGGAGTTTTAGCTGTTAAAATCAAGGTTACACCTACTAATAATTAATAAGGTGTGGCTTAAAAACAGTAATCCAGCTTGTAATACCTGGTAATCCAAAGAATCCACCTATAATCTTGGTAATCCGGGGTAATCCACTGATAATCTTGGTAATCCACTGATAATCTTGGTAATCTATTGATAATCTTGGAATTCTACCAATAATCCAGTAATCCATTGGTAGTCTTGGTAATTTTTGTAATCTCGTAGAGATTTTCCTCCCGTTGCGAACCCCTTGCCACCTTTTCTAGACTCTCGAACAGAGTTAGCTAGTAAGTCTTGGAATCATAATAGTGTATTGTTTTTTACATAGACTGAAACTATTCTCATGTCAATGTAATGAGAAATGACTGAGATAATAGCCAAAAACTGGTTTTTTTGATATTAATT